TATTGAAAAATCTGTTGAACAATTAATTTTTTTCAAAAGAATTGAACTTTTGAAAAATTAAAGTATTTAGCCGCAGCGGTAAAAAAATTTGAACAGAAAATTATTCAACTTAAACGATTTGAAAACTCAGTCACTAATTAGATGAAAATGAATACTTGTATGAACATTAGAAACACTAATTTTTCTACTCTTCTCAATGTTATCAGATGTTTTTTTGTTGTTTGTTTTTTAGAACTTATTATTTTTGCTCACTAAAACTGTATTTGGATACATTTTATTCAGATGATTATTTGCTTGTTTTTTCTTTTTACTCTTTGAAATTTTTGTACCAAAATAAGTGATATTTTGCCAGAAATTTTGTCAAGTTTATTAAAGTTCCTAAGTGATTTGAAAAGTCGTGATAAGTTTTTTTTTAGTTGTACAGTTGCAATCTGCATTTACCAATCGTTCAGTCTGTGCTAAGAAGAATTTGTTGAACAGCATACGTATAAATTTGGTTTTATAGATCTATGAAAGTGCTCAGCTATGTAAGGTTTGCTTATATTAGTCTTTTTATGGCTTCTGTATGCTGGCAGTGTTACAGTTTTTATTCCTCTTCTGTTTCCTACCTCAAAATGATTTATCTACAGAAAAAAAAAATTGTTTCTAAAAATGTGTGTTCAAAATGGAATTTGATCTTGGAATCAAATCAGAAAAAGAAAAAAGTTGGTCACTTTACACAAAAGTAACATTTTTTTTATGGTTGAGACTCAATAAACTTATGATTAAAAGTAAAATGAAATTTTTTTTATCATAGAAAATGACAGTAAGTTAAAAAAAATTTAGCTTCACAGATTGTACTCTAAAAATGAAATTTTTTTTGTCTTTATGCATTTGTACTGTCATATCTTCGGTTTATAAGACTGTATAAATTTAAGCATTATATATATCAATATCAGTTTCTTACTTGTTTTTATACGTGAACCTCGTTTTTTTTTGTACATTGCTTAAAAAATCTTTGTAAGCGAATTGTCTGATAAATTTCAAGGACTGCTGTTTAAGCTTTTCAAAGAATGGTTTTTACCATTCAGAACAAAAGTACAAAAACATTAAGCATACAGGTTATCGTTGGAATCCGATAAAAGAGGGTGGTAAACAAAAGAACAGAAGAATATTTTTAACAGTACAAAGATTGAAAAAAACAGCAGATTGTGGCAAAGGTTCTACTTTTTTGTTAACACAAAGATGCTAATTTCAAACCCTTCGAGGTTTCTCAAGCTTTTGCAATGTTCTGTGTTATAAAGTTTTAAAAATACAGTGCTCAGAGTATTGCCTTTTGTTCCTCAAAGTTAGCTATAGCAGTTTTAGCAAATGAAAAAAAAGGTTAGCTTTGAACTTGTCTATAAGTTTAGAAAAATAATTTTTGGTTTTCTACACAATGCTTTTTGCAATGGAAATGATGGCATAAGTTAAATAGCAATATGAATTGAGATAATTTTGCTATACTGTCGTACAGAATGTACAAATCAGTTGCTTAGACATCTTCCGCAAAACAACAAAGGTGTAAAAAAATCTGAATTTTTCAAATACAAAAAGTTTGAAAAATTCTTCAAGTTGTTTAAAAAGGTTACCAAGAAAATACCTTGGCATAAATATTCTGCAGTAATAGCAGAAAAATGATTACCTAAAGTTTCCAAAAGTAAGCTTATTTATTCTAATCAAATTTTTGCTTTCAACAATTAGACTTATGCGAAAGATGTTTCTGTTTTTATTAATCTAAAAATTTTTTCATGCAAAAAAAATATCTGCATTAATGTTTATTTTGTTTGCAACTGTTCATATTCTAACAGCTGAACATACTTGACACTAGTCTACAAAAAACTTTCTATGAAAAAAACTGCAGGTTGCAATTACATCAGTTAAAAATAAGAGTATTCAAAAATTTTTTTTATATGTAAACTAAAGCTATATAAAAATTATCAAATTAATAAATTACAAATAATGGTAGAATAATTTAACTATTAAAACATTGAAAAATAATTTTATTTTTATTGCGATTTTATTAACCATAGTCTTTAAAAAATAACTACCAAGAGTTCAACAAATTTTTGCTCAACGACAACTTGTAGTCGTTATCTATGATTAAATACTACAAATTTACTGTGATTCAAGGCTTTCTTCTTCTGTAAATACTCAAAAATTTAACTACAACAAATTGTTGTAATTAAGTTTTGAAAAAAAAAATTTGTTTCTTGCAGTGGCTTAGATTAATGATACAGGTCTGACCTAAAGTTGTTTCCAGGTATATTCATTTACTTGCAAAATACCTACAGTAAAATAATAAATTACTCAGCTTTTTCTAAGTTTTATAAATTTCGTATAAATTGTTTTTCAAATTGTGCTATCGTCTTTTATACAGCAATAAGTAAATGCTTTGGTATATATTGAATAACATTTGATTACTACCTATGATTTGTAACTTTTATCAGTAGAATGAAACTATTCCTGAAAGAAATGGTACATTCGAAACAGTTATTTACGTCAGCAACCACTCCCTATTCTTTTGTTTAATAAAGAGATAAGAGAAAAAATTTTTTCAGAATAACTGTTCGAAATATTGTTAAAACTAATTCAACATTGTCTTCTGTGCTGAAAAAAAAAAGTACAGAAAAAGTAATCTGTAAATCACAAAATATGGTGATCACACTGCTTCAAATCACTAAAAATACTCATTTTCTTCAAATGCTAATGTTTCAAAAAAAGAAAAACAAAAAAATAATTCTAGCGCTTTCCAAAAAAAAAAAAAAAACGACATCAAAAATTTGTGAAGAAATAAAACAAAGCTAATCAGATTCAAATCAATCATTAAAGGTAAAAATTTGTCTTCCTCGTACTTAACACATCAGTTTTTAGCCACTGAAACCAATTATTATTGCAAAAACAACAATACTTCTGAAAACGAAATTAAGCAATCACAGTTCAAACTACATAAATTACTGAAAAAGAAAAAATGACCAATGCAAAAGTTACCGTACAATATTGTCGACATTTTTTGGTAAAAAATTAAATGCTCATTGAAAATTTAGAAAAAATTTTTTTTCTGTTAAATCCTAATTATTTTGATACATTGTAGCGGAAACGACTATTTGGTTTTGATAGACATAATAATGAACAAAATGTGGTTAAAATTCTGAAGAACATCTGGAAATCAACAGTATGCAAAAGGTGTTAAAGTTGATCATTACTTTAAACCAGTCTTTTTCCAGTCTTATCCCAACTGTTGTACATTTTAGGAAACGCTAAATTTTAAGTGAACAAATAAAGGAATAGTCGAATGAGTAAAATCACTACCAGTCACTTGCAATGATTTCCGCATTTCAAAAATACGAACACCGTTTAATAGTAAAATAGTTTTTTTTTCTTTGAAAAGTTACCTAACATTTTTGTTATTTTAACTACTGTTTATATTTATAAAATTAGTCAAAATTGCAGTATCCTAAACAGGAAATGATGATTTAGAAATTGAAAATGAAATCTGTTAATGAAGAGGAACAGCTAGCGGTCATTAAGCACAAAAAGCGCTAAAAATGAAAAGAATTATACGGTGTAATCGCTTCCATATTAAACAACACCTAAACAGCAACAATTGAAATTTGCAGTTAGCTGGCGGATCAAAGCACCGGCTAACAAAACGTTTTCTCAGCTGTACATTTATAGACATTTCAAATGAGGAAGAAAAAAAATAATTTTTCTTTTGAAATTTTCCAATATATAAGACTCTAAGTTATCTGTCTATCCGTCAACGTCAACTTCATCGTTACTGCAATGTATATTTTTGTTCTTCTTACCGCCATTATTCCACTTGTTGTTAGCCAGGTATTCTTTATAAAATTGCCTTCAATTAAATTTATTTTGATCTTCTAACCTAATATTTTTAAATTTCTTCAAAAAAAATACTTTTTAAAAATTCATCCGTACGGTAGAAACTGCTTTCTGTATTTTAAAGAATCAACAACAACAACAATAAAAAGAAACTTTTTTTCTTCATTATATAAATTTAAAAAAAAAAAAATTTAAATTAATTCCCGGATAGATTGCAACATTATGCGATCGTAGTGACTGTTCTGATCATGGCACCTGTTTGGGATTTAAGACTGCTCCACTTTGCTTTTGTGACATAGGATACTTTGGCATTAAATGCAATGAAGGTATCCAATTTCTTTTTCAAGAAGTTCAATCCCGTTTACGACTAAAATCTTTGATTTAATGTTCAAGATCATAAGTGTAACTCAGATACAAAAAGTAACCCACAACTGAGTGCTCAATTTTAGGTCTCTGCGACAATGCAAAAGCATGCAATGGAAATGGGATATGCATTGGAACAACAAAACAGCATACATGCATCTGTAAACTTGGCTATCAAGGAAGTGACTGTCAACAGAAAACTTCGCTTAACGATGGTTAATTTTAGAATTTGTGCTTATCAAAAAAATTTTGACATTTAAGAAAAGTAATAAATAGAATTGGTAATATTGTATTTTTTTGACCATATAAAAATTGAAAAAAAAAATTATAGACTCAAAAGCAACTTCGGAAACAAACGGTATTACCTTACAACAATGCGATGCCACCGATTGTAACAACAAAGGAGTCTGTGTTGGTTCTAAGTCAGCACCGCTCTGCATTTGTCACCTCGGATATTATGGAACCAAATGCGAATCTAGTGTTTTGCCTCTTGGTAGGTAGATAAGCTAAGACAAAGCTCAGCATAAAGGTTTTAAACAATAATTACTGTATTAGTATAACTCTGTTGACGCTCTGAAAAAGAACACTAGAAAATACTACCTCGCCATTCTGTGTGCCTATTAGATGATATAAGTGAATTTACTGTTTACATTGATTCAAAAAAATATTTAATTTCTACCTTTCCTTTTGTGTTTGGTCTCCAAGCTAACTAAAAGATAAACAGAGATAAGCCTTAACATTCAATACATACAAGAGCTTGAAAAACTGTACTTACTGATTTCGCTAAACTTGACACTCTCGTAAACAAGTTTGAATTAGAAAAGATTGAAAAGAAAGTACTGAGTTTAATGCAAAGTAACTTCTGATTTCCTAACTGTTTTAGCGCTTGTTTTTTTTTTTCAATGTTTCTCAGGTGTTTCCTCTAATTATGGGGCAACGTCAGCAACAATTCAACCTTGTCTGCTGTTATTCATACACATGCTATTTGATGACTGATGATGTATCATTAACGTTTCTATATAAACACATATGACATAAATAAATTTAGCTACTGCTCGAAGTTCATCAGGAAGCACTGTTCTTTGCAATCCATCCGACTGCAACAATCGTGGAATCTGTTTTGGCACTAAAGCTAGCTTCGTTTGTGCCTGCAATCTTGGTTATATCGGTTCTAAGTGTGAATCAAGTACAATTTATATTTATTTTTACTTTACTAATATTTAACCTAAATCTAAAGTGAACAACACACGACGGTAAATAAACAAAAGACCTAAGAAAAGGAAATCTTAAGCCCCGGCACCACTATGTGAATCCAGTGATTGCAATAATCGCGGTCTTTGTATTGGAGATAAAAATTCGTTTGTATGCGCTTGTCAACTTGGATACAGCGGAACCAGGTGCGAGAAATGTAAGTCCCGATTATACTCTTTACATTCCTAAGTATCTAGCGTAACTATTTTAAAAAATTCACTTATAACAATAACTGCTTGGTCGTACTAAAGTCAAGATTCAAATATAGTTTCTTTTCAGTGACCGGTACCCTATGCGATAATACGGACTGCAACAGTCAAGGAATCTGTATCGGTACGAAAGAAGCATTTTTATGCGTTTGTAATCTAGGATATCTCGGTGAACGCTGTGAAAGCCGTATCGGCATTGATCTTCAACCAGCAACAGCCAATGCACTCTGTGAGCTTAAAGACTGCAACAATAACGGTATCTGCGTAGGCACCAAAAACAATCCAGTATGCCTATGCAATCTTGGCTACACTGGATTACGGTGTGAAATAGGTAAGGCAACTTGGCTATCATTTACTACCATCAATTATCAATTATAAATTTGCCACAGACACCGAGACATTTTTGACCCATTAAAACTCTGCCAGTATTTAGACCTGTGACAATTCCAACATTATATACAGCGCTCAAAAATTCACCATAATCCCAAAATTACGTCCCCAAAAACCATAAAATATTTTTTCCAGAACCACTTTGCAACTCGTTCCTACAGTGCAGCGGTAATGGATTATGTATTGGGACACAAAAACATTATACTTGTCTTTGTAATCTAGGCTGGTCCGGTAATAACTGTCAGTACTTGTTTGGCCTCGGCAAGTTCTAAAAACACCTCAGGATCCTGTTTTGTCGGCAGGGTTTTTTTTTTACTACGATATCACAGAGAAATATGCGTGTAATTTTATTTTTTCCTTTACTACGATGCATGACTGTTACTTAATGAATTGTTCAGTAATTACAGTAAATGATCAAAGAAGTATGCTTCCTGAAAATCCTTGAACAAGTTACTGTCTCAATTACAAACTAACAAAGAAATAATCAGATCGCGAATGAATTGCACCGATAAGAGAAAAACTTGGATAACAAGAACAAGTCTCCCCCAAAAGATGTAGTACAATATAAGCTCATGCAGGATATCTGACCCTCAAGTCGACATTTACTGACATATACACACACACACACACACACACATTTACCCTGCACATTTATGTTAAATTAACAAAAACCAAATTTCCCATCAGGAATTTTCCCTTCCTCCCATCAAGACTTTCACCCTACCCCTCGCAAAACAATATTTGAAAGTTAACCATCCCAAATGAGCAGAGTAACCAACAGTCTGCAAAAATTAAGTAAAACTATAAAAGTAACTATGACCCCAAAGGATAATAACTCCTCTGAAACCTAAACAAGTTCATATAAAATTGCGTCAGAAATAAGAACAGGTTATGCACAGCATTTACAATCAAAAATAAGAAATGACACTCAAGAGAGCCGAAGCTAGCTAGAAGAAACCCAAAAAGAAAAATAAAGAAACACCCGGACTGTAGATGCAGAAATTCCGCTAAAGTCGCGAAAGATATAAGGTTTTAATGAAGTGCCCAGAAGTTAAGTGAGAGAATTAGCAGAAATGAAGCAAATTTTGTATGCAATAGAAACAAAAAAAAGCACAACTCTTGAAGAAAAAAGTGAAAACTTTAGTAAAGGTAATTGCAAAATTTTCTCCTCAATCATCTCATCGACTAGAAAAGTTGTCAAACAAATATCAGAACAAGACAAACATAAAATATAACTAATTCACGTGACAAACTGTTCCCGAAACTTATTTAGCAAATGTTAATTAATGTGACGCTTGCCAAAAAATGAATTTTCAAAATTTATCACATTTTTACAGCACCTCAAAAAACCAAAAATAGGTAGAAAACTGATTTCTTATACCCTGGAAAAAGTAAAAACATATAAAACAATTTGAGAACCAGGAATCATTACCAGCCTAATTAGCTGCCACTACTGATAATGCACAAGAAAAGACTGCAATTAAAGCAGCACATGTACATACAGAAAGCAAAGAAAATCCAAGCGAGGTGACCAAGCTGTACAATTTCAGGCAAGATTTAAAATGTACAACAGTGGTGTTTACGCTAAACATCTTTTTCAGATACTACAGCTTCAAAGAATTCGTCATATGCTTCCGTATAAGGTTCCTCTTGTTCATTACAATTCTGAAAAAATTACATCGAGAAATTGAACACATTAAAATAAGAACTTCAAGGTACCCTTCAGCCGCTCTGAGGCGTGCACAACAAAAATTCAACCCTGTAGCAGTTTCTCTACTAACCATTTACACCTGACCAAAACGTTTCAAAACGTCCCTTATATTGAACGTAATAGACGACTTCCGGGTATTTTGAAAACTTTTGTCAAAAAATCACACTCCATGTGCTAAAAATGACATGTGTCTCGGAAGGTTTTCACAGCCATGTGATGGTTGATTCATCGTTAATTAGTTCGCTAACTAAATGACGTACTTGAACCAACCCTCTACAAATGCTCACAAAGTCATTTCTTAAACGCTGCAAGAAAACTACAGCAAGAACTTATCTGAGATGTACCAATTCAGATTTATTCGCCTTTACCTTCTCTGATAGTCCTACTTTTAAAGTCAAAGTTTTCAAAGTATATCAAACTTGGTCTAGCAATGAGTACTTGCAAAAGGTCAGAATTACGGAAATTAGAAATTCCTTGCAATATACCATGTTTAGCAACTTCAAACTCATTAAAATTCTTTCACCGACGTATGAGACAAATACAATTTTTCCCCAGCTCACGTCGAAGATTTAAATCAGTTTGCCTAGAAAGAGAACAACACCTCCTAGCCCTGGAAACTATAAGAATAAACTCTACTCCAGCATCGATAAGCAAAAAAAAAAAA